ATCGGACTCTAGGTCATGCACTAGATAGTGTACATCATGGTTAAAGGCCATGAGTGCTTATGTAGGAAAATGTTCTGATTTTTAAAAGGTAAGTACTCAACTATTAATTTTCCTAAATATTTCAGTAAAAAAAAATAAAAGAATGTGGGTAAAGAAGTAGGGGAGAAAGCATGCAAGTGTGGCAAAATATTAACAGCTGGGGAATCCAAAGGTGCTCACTGGGCTATTCTTTAAACACTTATAAACACATGTCTTCTAAACACATGAAAATTTTTACAAAATGAAATTTTTAATAAAAAAATGTGGAGACCTGCTATGCAATCCAAGGTAATGACTTAATATCAACTGACCATCTCTCCCTACCCCCAACTCAAAGACAAAATCAGAGAATATCATTATATTTTTTTAAAAAACTGTAATGTGCAAACAACAAAGAAATGCTTTTATGAAGGCTAATATCAAGGGCTAAGAAGATAGCTCAGTGGCATAAGCGCCTACATGGCAAGCATAAAGTCCTGAGTTCAAGCCCGGGTACTGCCAAAAGAAAAAAGAGAAAAGATAATAACAAACAGTGTTCTGACTTTCTAAGGCTAATCCCTGACAGGCTAAGTCCAAGGCTGAGTTTGGTTTTGTACTGAACCATGTTCAAGAGAAAAGGGTGAGCAAGACCATTTTTGAGAAACTAGACACTCTGATGTGGGATTTACTGAAACTATTTGACTTAACCCTGCTAAGATCTGAAACTGAGAAACAAAATTTTCAATGAAGTAAATGGCTTTATGTACACACATTCACTGTATTTTTGAAAAAGGGATTATGAAATGGGTTTTTAATAAACAGAACCAGTATTTTTTTTTTTCACAGTGGGATGACAGGGTACTGTTCAGAAATAAAAGTATGAAGCACTATGAGGAAGACACCAAAGGTGTATCTCCGCTAGATTTCTGAAGATATCTAAGTTACTCCTCATGTCCCGGAGGACATGCCCACCAAAGCTATGACGGCCTGACTCTCTAGCACCATTCTTCACTCATTTCCATTCATCACCCTGGAACATCCCTTTCACCTCAGTCCAAAGTAGAAACCTAGCTTATAAAACCAGAGACTTCTGCAGACCCCAGAGTCTATGCATTCTATCTGGAAAGAGACTAAAGCTGATTCCTTTCACTTGTGGGAATAATAACCATCAGGCTGTGGGCAGGCACTAAAAACACACACAGGAGGGAAATTTAGGACAAATTGTGTTTTTAAAAGTGTAAAAATAAGGATCGGCCAGATAGTCCAGCAGATTAAAGCTCCTGCTTAGTCCGGACTAAAGCTCCTGTGCTTAAGAGTACAGTGGCCAGGGTTCAATTCCTGGCTTGCCAGCCCCACCCCCACGGCATACTGAGACAGTCATGGAGGCTGGACATGGTGGTGTGTGCCTGTAATCCCAGCACTTGGGGGGTTGAAAACAGGAGGATCACTATGAGTCCAATCTACATAGTGAAACCCTGTACTAAATACATAAAAAAGGGAAAAATGATCCTAAGTAATGTATCTGTTGAATATTTTATCATAAATTTTCTTCTTATTTTTATGAACTGTAACAAAGGAACAGGTGTTTAAAGAAAAAATGTTTTTATTCAGATTTAAAATTTTTATTTTCAACAGATTACTATAGTATGACTATCAAAAGCGAAACACTTGGAAGATTTAGAAAACTCATGTTAGAAATATATTATAATTCCTGAAAGAATTTTATTCTATCAGAAGTGATTAAATACATATTACCACACTTATTTATTGTAATATATAGCATATATATGTGTGTGATATAAATATGAGGTGTGATCAAAACAAACTGAAATTAATAAAGTAAAATACACACTGCCTTGTGGGCTGGGGACATAGCTCAGCAGCATAAGTGCCTCCCTGGCAAGCATAAGGTCCCAAGTTCAATCCCTAGCACCACAAAAAAATTTTAAAAAATCACCATTTATCTCCTTCAAAATGCTCCTGTTCACGCCAAACACACTTATCCCATGGTTCCTGCTACTTTCTAAAGCAATTCTGAAAGTCTCTCATGCATGTTTTACTTATAATGTTATGACTGCCTCAAAGTTCTGACTTGATTTAAAATGTTGTCCTTTCTGGTTTTGGGGACGAGCTTCCTGTCACATGGTGTCACGTCCAGTGTCAAAGGTGGATGAGGAATGCATCATGATGTTTTCATGAATCTGCTTTTTGCTGAATGGCGCTTGGCAGTAACATCTACCATTTTTGACCATGCCTTAAAAGGACACTCACAAAAGGACTTCCAGAACTGCTAAAAAGTGGCAAGAACGACAGGGTAATGTTTGAAATGAGAGGCAAACTTAGAGAAATTATTTGCAATGTATCTTTTACTACAATAAAAGCTATTTAAACACACCAAATTTTTATTACTCTATTTCTACCTATGCTATAATATTACAAATGCTTTCAAATTAAATTTTTAAAGCTTTTCAGTAGTTATTGGCATAAATATAGCATTTATTTTTTGGATTATTACTAAAAAATAGATCAGTAAGAAGCAAACACATACAGATTTTTACTTGATTTTATCTTATTTTCTTCCCCTAAGTTCTGGTTCATACACTAAAGCATTATAGTTTAATTCTGAACAGAAAATATTTCTAAAATAAAAGTATCAGAAACAGTACCTTATGAGATAATTTTGTAGTTATTATAAACAAGTATATATGTATTTTGAGTAGACAATAATTTTTTATTTTCAGGAAATGTTACTTTTACTACAAACCCTCCTTTTTAGCCATTGTAGTCAAGAGTTACAGAATTTCCTCTCCTGGATATCTTAAAACTGTTTTGATATTTTTCTTTTCCAGAACACAATTTAAACAAAATTTTAGAAGAAGTAAAATAAGAAAACCAAAATAAAGTATAAACATGCAGACGATTAACTAGGTTCCATTTTTTTTTTTTCTTATGCCAGTTATTTTTATCTCAGGCAATAAATGTCAGCCCGAAAGACTGAAAATGTATATAAAAGGCTTAGCACCATTCCCAACTCATCAGAGGTACTTATAAATTAGTTTGCTTTTCCTTCCAATAATAACAAGAATCATTCCCATAATGGTTGCTAGCACATTACATTATTGGGAGGATCACTTTACCCCTTTATGGCTTATTGTCCTATATAACGTAACTCTTAAACTTATCATTTTACTTATACCAAATTGATTTCTGTTGTTTTCACAAGTATCTCCAATTGCTATTTTGGAAACAAACAAAAAAATCTGATTTGATTTGATTGACTATTTGCTTATTTTTGGCATCCCATCATTTCTGCATTTCTAGCCAAATCTTTCTGAGATATACTAGACAATAGGAAGGGGTGTGTGAAATAACAGTGTTCCAACACTACACCATATACTGAAGGCCCTAATCCATCAATTAACAATCGACATATTGTATAACAAATATTCATGGAACTTACACATAAAGGTCAGAAGTCACACAGTTTGAGGAAGAATGGGAGAGCATTTATTCGAAAACTCTTAGCTACGTTTCTATTGAAAGGTTTTCACCTTGTGACAATGAGATACACAATATTTTCTGTCCTTGTTTCCATCACTTGTCATTACGGTCATATTTGACAGCCCTGCTTTTGATAAAATTTTGTGTTTTACTGACATAAATGTCATTTCACTCCAGAATAGGCAATCTACACTTTGTTCTCATCACAAAATAAATATGGTTTGAGATTATAGAACGCTCAAGATGATAAAGTATATGTCATCGTCAAATAGCACATTTTCCTAATTTCTGTCATTATAGAACTAGCCAGAGTATAACAAGAATAAATTATGCCACTAATTGCTGACAAATTTTTAAAAATTCAACCATAACAATTTTTAGTGGTACAGCACAGGTGAAAATAAGGTAGTTTTATGAAATAAATTAGTTAATTTTTATTATCTAAATTCTAGTGATGTTGATTTTGGGGTTTTCAACAAAAGTAGTCTTTTTTTAGTGGAAGCCCAAGTTAGCAGTGTTTTGTCTTCTACCTGCAGAGCAGAAAGTGTTGTATAAAAGTGAGTTTTCCAAATGACAAGGTGACCATTTAAATGCACGCTCCAACTACTTTGGACAGAAATTCCCTTAACTGAATCCCCATACCTCCTTAGCACATCAGGTAGCATAGTCTTTTGAACCTAATGTAGCACTGTTACAGAGCGAGATCTCCCCTTACTGTACATTTGCTTACCAAAGAATAAGACAACAAGAAACTTTAGAGGTGTTAACAAATGGAAGGCAATTTGTTCCTATTCCAGGCAGCTTGACAGTAACAAGTTTAAAAACCTACACTGTAAGTTTTACTACCCCAAATGAAAAAACTCTCTCATTGTTTTTTGTTCATTTGCTTCTCTTTCCTTTTTATAATTTACGTATGTGGTACAGGGTCTTACTACACAGCTCGGACTCATAGTCATCCTCCTGTTTCAGCCTTTCCAGCTCTGGGATTACAGGCACGTGCCACCATGCCCAGACTTGATGGCTGGCTCAGCACACCTGTGGGCAAGGCAGGCGCCTTGAATCCTGCTACCTGCACTTGCCTAAGCAGGTGCTTAGGCCATCAAGCTATCCTGCTGGCCCTCTCATTGTTTCTAGGTCTCTTTCAGTCATCTGATAAACCACTGCACCTAACTCACTGGCAAATCAGGTAACCATGCAAGCAGTGTTATTATCAAAAGCAAGAATAAACACAATGGGATAATAGTCTTCAATTAAAAGGTGTCTCAGCTTAGGCCACAGTGTGGCACAAATTTAGCCACTCAGAAGGCATTTTCAATTATTTCCAAATTCATGATTATATCAGATCAGTGTTCCCTGGGAAAACAATGAACAAGTTGTTATTCTCAGCAATAAATCTCTTTGTATTTTCTGGACCAATAATACTGTCAATTTTTAAATCTTACTAGGTTCATCAGTAGTAAGCAAAATCTTAATAAACTTACCTGAGGCACGCCTCGTGAATCTGTTTATTGCTGGAGCTAAAAGAAAAAAGCAGAATAGTATAATTAGATAAAAAAAATTAATTTTTTCCCAAATCTTCAAAAATTTCAAATT